GATTTCCTTGTCAGTCGATCTGGTGTGTCACTTGGATAGATCGATCTGGAGAATTCAAAGGAAGGTTGAAAAAAGTTTGAGACTTTGGTTTTGGTGGTACAACTTTATCATACCACTCCTGCTGTCACGTTGGCACACTCTGTGACTAGCTGTGGCAGGACTTTGACTTGTTGTAGCAAAGCTTGTTGGTTGGTTTGGACATTTGATGGAACTTGGGGTTGCTATGGAGCTAGAGGTGGTCCTCTAAGATTCCTAGAATCGATAGCACTCAAGTGTCTATCAGTGCTTGGGTAAGCAGGCTCCTACCTTGGAAAGGCTTCGTAATCAGTCTCGCGTCGTCGTGTCGACTGGCTTGCAATGAGTCCAAAACAAACCTTGGAAGTAGTTGCTCGGCATCCCGTTGGTGACGAGAAGCTGAGCGGTGGAGACGAGACAATACGGACATTGTCATCATCGGGAAAAGTCTTTGTGGCTGGCACTCCTGCTGGGAGTGATGCCACTACTGGAAGATTGGTGTTGGTTGATACCGTCACTTGGTGTACCTGCGGCTCAGACTGGGAAGGTCGGCTGCATTGGCACTTGATGGGGCTGGAAGCCCTTGGTAGATGGAAGCTGGTTGAAGCTTCTGGAAGTCGTAGACTTGTGGGAAGTGATGCCCTATTGGAAGGTGCATGGAAGCTGGAAATGATGTAGCTTGGAAGTCACGGACTTGTTGGGTTCGACTGAACCCAGTTCTTGGATGGTCTCGATGTCTGAAGATGGAATGAGGAAATGGTTGAGTTATTGTTTCCTCTTATCATGGTTGTTTATACTCATGTGAGACTCGTGACTGCTGGTGTCGTCACTGGTGGTGACTGGTGCCGTCACTTGGTACACTTGGTACCGTCATTTGGTGTTGCCGTAGCTGAGACTGGGAAGTCAGGCTATAGCGACACTTGGGAGAACTGTTGTAGTAGCTGGAACTAGGAGGAAGTTCCTTGCCACAATGATACTTTGAGTTGGGGCTAGAAGCCCTTGGAAGTTTTGGATACTTGTAGGGAACAAGTAATTGGGTAGTAGTTGTGGAAGCTCCAACTTGATGGCTGGGCTCCACTGGACCTTGATGTGTCACGGTCAATGATATTGCGATGGTGATGTAGTCGGTCGATCCTTTGGTTGGTGCTGTCACTGCTCTTACACTCCTGTGAGATGGCTGTGGCAGTAGTTGTTCGTAGTTGTATCTTCTGTAGGCTTGATTTGTTGTACTCATGTACTTCTGTTGGTGTGAGACTAAGGTTGGTTGCAATCTCTGTACAGTAGTTGCAGTGGAACTGAGGTGTGCACCCTCTTGTTGTTTTTATTGATCAGGTTGCCACTTGTGTGTCAAATCTGTCTGCTCCAGCCATCCTGTGGCTTGGTTCCTTGTCTTGTGAACTCTTGAGTCGCTTGTAGCTAGCTACTCGGTTCAACGTTCACTGTTGTTCTGCTGTTGTTGCAGTTGCCGTTATTGTAGATGCAATTCTGGTTTGGTGTCGATTTCGTTGTAATCGGTTTGGTAGCGGTAGATGCCGTTGTTGCCCGTGTAGTTGTGGCAATTGGTAGATACCGTTGTTGGCTGTTGTTGTAGCCATTGATGGTTGTTGGCCGTGTAGTTGTGGCCATTGGTGCCGTTGATGTTTGCGGCATTGCCTATAAAGGCGGATGTGATATGATGGTTTTGTTTGTAGGATTGTAGGTTTTGGATTTGGGTACCCTCACACTCCTGTGCACTTGCTGTGATCAAATAGCAAGGGCATGGTCTTGTAAAGGTATCTGTTGTTGCCTACCTAGAGGCTGTTGTTGCCCCAGGTTTGCCTGTAATCAGTTGAGGAAGTGCTGTGGTTTAGTTGCACAGTACACATTCCATAAAATTGGTAGTAGGAGGTGTTGTGGCTTTGGAAGCCACAAGACACGCTCCATGAAAGGGTAGGAGGTGCTGAGTGTAAAACTCAATACACACTCGAAAGAAAATAATTCATTGCTGGTGGAAGCACTCCTGTGCTTCCTGTAGCTCTGCACTGCTCTTGCGACGGTTGGCTAGCTATCTGCAGGACATGCCCCGGTGACCGTGCCGGTACTGGTAGCTGCATTGGATTTGCTGTGCAAATCCTCTTGTTGCTGATGTACCGCACGGAGACTTGGCTTGGATCTCCTCGGGAAATCCTCTTGTTTACCAACGCACAGAGAGATCTCGAGAGATCTGGTTCCATGCCGGAAAGATACCTTTTCGTGACGGAAAGATACCTTTCTCGTGTGACGTTCAGTGGCTGTGCTTTCGTGGGGCCGTTCGCTGAACTGCTTGGGCTTGTTCTTTTGTGTTCCATTGCAGAACTGATGGCAGTCAGCGATTTCCTCACAAAAAGCAAGGATTGCCTTTTTCTTGGTGTCGGCACTGCCAACACTCCTGTTGCCGATGCTGTTGCCGCTTTTGGTATCGTCGACCAATTGCTTTAACAGTAGCGGCCACTGTTCTGCTTGTTGCCACTGTAGCGGTAGCAGTAGTCCTTGTTCGATCACTGGCTGCTTCTTGTTCTTCGTGTTGGCACTGTTTCCGATCGAAGCAATGATGCTGTTGACGCTAACGGTGGCGACTAACTAGCTAGTAGTAGCCGTTGCCGTTCTTCTTGTTCCCACCGTAGCAACAGCAGCTGTCGTCTTGATTGACTGACTTCTCGTTTCGCCTTGTTTCTTGTTGATGCTCGCAGTGGTAGCAGTCGTCGGGTTGTTCTTGTTGTCGCCGTAGCGTCGTTCGTGTAGCTGTAGCAGTAGCCTCAGCTTCGGCCGTTCGATCGCTCGTTGGCTGATGCTGTTGCTTGCCGACAGTAGCACACTCTTGTTGTTGACAGTAGCGATGGCGGCGAATGCCTAGTGGTTTTTCTTTCAATTTTCCTTGAGTGGACCGATGTATGCAACTCGCTCTGAGGTCGTTTCGAGTGCTTGCACTCTTCCGGGCCTGTCAGTGACAGTATTGTAGCCCACTTCCGTGTATGACAGTCCTTCCGTAGGACCTGTCGTTCTCGAGTAACCGCCCTGGCAATTTGGCTGGTTTCGTGCCGCTGGGGGTTTTGCACCTCTCCTCTAGTAGCCTCTTTCGATGGCTCTCTTGTTGAGGATAGGAGCACTCCCACGGAAGTACCTCTGCGGTTCCTGTTGGAACTTGTTATCTCGTTCCTCTCCGCGGCAACACTTGTGGTGTCGCTCCTTTTGCAGTTGACACTCTTGTGTCACACCTTGATGGCTTCGTACGGTCTGATCCGTAGTAGCCTTGCTGCTGCGCTTCCGTACTGTAGCTCTGTTCCGTACAGTAGCCCTTCTCCATACAGTGCAGTAGCTCTTCGTGATGGCTTCGTACGACCAATTGGTTCCGTAGTAGCCTTGTTGCGCTCGTACGGTAGCGTTGCCTCCGGTTGCATTCACCGGAAGCCTTTCTTTCTTGCTGTAATCCTAGCTAGCTAGTCGTCCTGGCTTGCTGTCTTCGTGGCAACCTTTGTTGCCACTCTTGTAGTTGATTTTCGTATTGGCACTGGGATATAAATCTCCAGTCATACGATAGCTGTGTTCCGCAGCTCAAGGTCCTCAGTTTGCTCACTCCTGTGAGCTGGTTCGTCTTGCACGTGTTGCCGTGCTCTGATGCTCTTGCACTTGTTGTGGTAGATCTTCAATCGATCGTGGCTCAATGGGAACTTGTGACGATTGATGCCTTTTTCCTGCTAGGCTGTTGGGATAGCTCTCTCAGTGAGGCTAGAGCCCTTTTTGCCTGAACCTTGACTCGATGTTGGTTACCTTATAGCTTGAGGATATCATGTAATAGGATGTCGATATCCCATGGTCGAGATCTCGAATTCGAGGCGAACTTCGAGAGATGATCTTCTTGGAAATAGTGTTAGTTGCTAGTAACACTCTAGCTTAGTAAAGGTAAAATACTGTTTTACTGTTAAGCTATTTCCAAGAAGTGATCTTTCTCCATGTTTTCTGGGATTGATTCAACTTCAAAGGATATAGTGAAGGGGGTGACCATATAGATCAGTTAAACTCCCCATGTATGTAACTAGAGAATAGATATAGATATCCCCGCTAAACTAGATTGGGATAAACGATAATTTGTATTGAGGTGTCTGTAATACAACCTCCAACACACGTTACTTATGCCGCCCTTAACACAACACACCCTAACTCCAAGTTGTGCCTTGAGGGCCAGGAACGCAAAGCAAAACGAGCCCGTTTGGCAGCCGTGGAGCAATCTAGAGCAGTTACCTTCACTGCTCTTGGAGCGCCCATTGAAAACGTCACCTCCTTTCGCTATTTAGGCCGCATTTTATGTGCCAATAACAGTGATTGGCCTGCAGTGTACAAGAACCTCAGCAAAGCACGTCAAAAGTAGGCCCTCATTTCCCGCCCACTTTTGAAAACTGGTGTGCAACCACGGGTTGTTGGAATGTTTTACAAAGCTATCGTTCAGTCTGTGTTACTGTACGGCAGTGAGACCTGGGTTGTGACTCCCACTGTGCTCCAGACATTAGAGGGTTTTCATCATCGCGTCGCCCGTCGCATTGCTGGCAAAATGCCATACAGAAAGCATAGTGACGAATGGGTGTACCCACCGATTGCTGGAGCGCTCAAAACGGCGGGACTGTATCCCATTGAAGAATACATTCGCCGTCGACAGAACACAATTGCCCAGTACATTAGCAACCGACAATTACGAGCTTTGCCAAGAAGCCACTCCCGTTCCAACGAAGACCAGCACGAGTCACCCCCACCAACATCACGCAGCTACCGCTGGTGGACGCAACCATCCATGGTCCAACCACCCCCGGACCTCGCACGCTATGACAACAACGATGATAGTGATAGCGTGGGAACGAGCTTGGCTCATCAGGATATGTCTCCGCCGGACTCCCCATCCAGCTTGCGGGCAGCCTCACCACCACCACATGCCCCTCCCCAACGACTCCACAAACCACTCACGCGAGTCCAAAGGGAACGCACCAGGGAGGCATGGGCTTCACCTGAGCTTGCCGCTGGCCGCTCCAACAACATCAGTCCACGGGCCTTTCACTCGCTCCGTGATGGTACATGGCTTCAAGACGAAGCCATCCATAGATTCCTGCGACTCCTCGTTGCGCGGGACGCTTTCCAAGCCTCTCTCATTGACGCTCACCGACCCAGCTTTGTTTTCACTTCCTTTTTCATGACTCAGCTGCTGAACATGGGTGACCTTGATCCAACCGTTCAGGGCAGCTACAGCTACTCCAACATTCAAAGGTGGTCCCGTCGAGTCCCGGGTCAAGACGTCTTTGCACTCGACAAACTTTTTCTCCCAGTAAATGTCAACCGAAGCCACTGGATGGTGATCGTTGCCTTCATGCAGGAACAACGAATTCAAGCCTACGATTCTGCAGGCGCCACCAACACACGGTTTCTCCAAGCTACCCTTCGATACCTCGCCGATGAGCACCAACGAGTGCACAATCGTGCCCTCCCCATCCGAGATTGGTCCCTTTGTGAATCTACCCCTGCAACTCCTACACAACTCAACGGCTACGACTGCGGCGTCTTCACTTGCGCTTTCATTGACTGCCTCCTGCGCAATGACACTCCAACCTTTTCTCAAGAGGACATGACCCAGTACCGCCGATGGATCACTCTGTCCCTTCTTGAGAACCAACTACCCATCGGGTAGCTGCCCTGAGCACCATTTCCTTTGCTCGTATCAACTCACACATTTCTTTCATCCTTGGCTCCCGGCCCCGACTGGGAGGGCACTACGAGCTTCTCTGTCAACTAAGGAGAGGAGCCATAGAGTAGTGCAGTAGTAACTTATTCTATTCTAGCAATTCCTAGGTGCTGGGAGGATAGGGGAGCTCTGCTTGCATCTCGTGTTACCCGACCCCTCACAGCACCGGTGGAGATTAACAAACAAACCGACACAGGTATCACCAACAAAGCACTAGGAAATAACCAGGAGGGATGAATCCGGTAGGAGGATCGACTCTCTTGTGTGTTGTCGTGTAGCATCCTGTTGACTTTAGCCATTCAATGACTCGACGACGATCCGTTTATGCTCTTGGTAGGGCTGGAGTTAACAGAGCCTCCTCCTCCGTAGCCTCTCCTCTTCTTGTGCCGTTATCCGGAGCGATCGTTCGTTCGAAAAGGACTCGACAATGGGATTTCCTGGGTAATCAGCAGTAAGAGAACAGAAAGTAAGACATAGGTTTGGTTTTCTCTTCTATTCTTATACTGCAGACGACCGGAGACTTACCCTTGTTTTTCAAATTGCACCAACTTGGCCGTCTGTGGCTGAGAACTGACTGCCATCCCATCGTCTATAGAATTCAATGAGGGATGGCTTTCGAATCTACATCAGAGACAGCCGGCTTGAGTGAGTGAGGCTTGGATAATAGAGGTGCGACCAATTCGATTCGAATAATTAAAACAACTCACCTGTTGACGGCCGAGATCTGACTACCTGCCCATGGTCCATAGAAGCAATTCAATGAGGGATGGCTTTCGAATCTGCACCTTCATAACACTCTTGATAATAGAGGCTTACCTCGTACCGTACCAGTCGTTCGATCGATCCAACACCAATCTTGTGAGCCAAGCTTGGATTTTTCTCCTGTTTGCCATAGAAATTCAATGAAGGAGAGAAGTCAGTGCTGCACCGTCAATGATGGACTTGAACCGTACGTATTAGTACCGGTACATGTGCAGGCATTCAGTTTATCCTTAACCTTAGTAACTTCAATGGTTCTTTTATCCACGAATGGATCTAAATCTTTCGAAAGGGAACTTGTTACTTAACGATACACATGACCATTGATTCTGCAACTGACTTGCCGCTACTCTAATTTACACAGTAAATGCCGGCAAATCGATTTCAGAGTGCAACTGAGGGGGTAACCTAAAGGAGCGTCGTCTCAGGAGACGAAACAGGAAACAGGAAATAGGAAATACCAAAAAGGGGATGAGGGCTCAGGCAGATAGACTGCCGAGGTATTCAAGTCTGGAGTGTACTGTACTACAGAGTAGAAAGACAATTACTAGTACAGTATGAGACTGAGTTGATGCCTGCCAGGTGGTACCATCAAAATGCATGCAGTTGCTTGGTCCCCTGCCACCAACACATGCGGCAATACTATCCGTGCCAGATTGCTCCGGAAGGCATTAGCCAAGAAGCAGAGATAAGTCAGGACTATCAAGATGTGTAGAAAACTGCTTTTCTCCCTTCCTGTGACAGAGCTAATCAGTTACATGCGTCTGTTGCTTTGATACCAAGCAAGGAGACTAAGCAATGGATCTTGAGGTATTTGCCTTTAGGTGGAAAGTGCAATGGGCTTCAACTGCGTAGAATCATTGTGCGGAGTGGCTTTTTGGATTTTGTCCATGGTGTCTCCATGACCAGGTGCATTAAAAAGGCTGCATTAAAGGCTGCATTTTAAAAGCTCTGCTGACTAAACATGCCTTCTTTCCCGTTGTTGACTGGGTCACCGGACTGGGTGACTGGACTGACCGAGACCTGTCGGAACATCCACTGACTCAGTGAATGGAGTGTTGAGCTTCCAATGACGATGGTGGCAGAAGAAATGATTCATCCCCAAGCATGTGATCAGATACGGCAGCGTCAGCAACAAGAAGAGCCCAAGCGAAGGATATGCTGCCCACACAATTCTGTATTAGCTATAGTTTATCCTTTTAACTGAGAAAATGAAGTCCTTCACCACCCTCCTCCTGGCTTTGTTCGCCGTTGGCGCTGCCGCCTTTTCTGGTTCCTCCTTCACTGGATCCAGCCTGAGTACCTCTGTGGTCAGCAAGGGGTCAATGACTATGGAATACATCCCTTCGTAAGTTTGCGTCTACTACGTATACAATATGAGCTAAAATAATTATTAAGATTCCTATTTCTGACTCAATAATGTCCTGTCTCTCTTGACGATTTTGCTTTGGCTGTCTCTCCAGTGGCATGAGCAAGGAGCAATGGCAAAAACTCAAGGCCCAGGAAAAGGCCAAGACTTCGGGAAAGAACTTGGGCAAGGTTGGCATCACTACATTCAAATCTCGATCCTTTTCAGACTGGCAAAAAGCTGGAGGCAAGAACTTGTTCCCCGTCGATCCCACCAAGGTTAAGGACCCCAAAGATATCCCCTACATGCAAAGACCAGGAGGCAAAGCTGATGACTCTGACTTGAAGAAGAAATCTAGTCCATTTGGCATGTTCGGCGGAAACAAGAAGAAGGCAGAAAAAAAGCCAGAGCCAACCCAAGAAAAGTCAACTAACTGGTGGACTCTCAACTAACTTTTTGTTGAAGCACAAGTTGGATTTGCTATTGGCTGGTTTGGTGTGGAAGGATTTTGGAGAGGCTGTTAGCCAACAAACAATCTGCACTACACAACAGCATGGGTCACGTGAAGAAAATACATGTTTGCTGCATTCGTGTTGTGGGTAGACAGATTTAGAGAGACCAGAGCTAAGTTGGATAGAAGCGGTCTCGTGATTTTATGATACACTATCTTGTTATGATATCGTCTGCGCTCCTTGTCTAGTTGTATCTGTTTTGTTTGGTCGGTACCATCTTGACAGAAGAGGTCGTTTCTTTTCTTTCATGGACGGCAACAGTCCAATTGATGCCTCGGGTTCCTAATCGAATAGATTGTTTCTCTGCTGACATTTGAGAGGCATTTCTATCCACTACTACTTGATTCTTCATTACATATAAAGTTCTAGGTTCTAGAGGTTGGACGTGCACTGACAAGTGCCAGCCACACAGGAGACGCTATGTTTAGACATCTAGAATCGAATCTTCCGGAGGTGGCTACGGGAATGAATGGTAAGATCCGGTACAAGGCAATGAGGCGAAGGCTGAATGCCGAGCAAGAAGTTGGCCCTCACTGTCTTGTTTTAGACATGGTTCACGCACGCTGTTTCCTTTACAAAGCAGGTACACCGGCTATGTGCGCCCGATTTCGAAGCAATCGGCTATCTTGCAAGTCTTCCAAGGAGTCAAACACTGCACAGAGTTCCTCGAACGAAATTTTCCCATCATTGTTGGTATCCGCTTGCTGTAGGATACGGCGCATGTCCTGTTGAAGGGTGCGCTCGTCGGATCCCTGAAATTTGTGGGCGATCCCCTCCAAGAGTTCATCCTCGGTGATGAAACCGTTTCCATCCGTATCCAACGAACGGAACAAGGCCACTCGCTGCTGTTCCTGAATAATGTGATCCAGTTTCTGTGTACACGCGGCATGCGTGAACTCGTCCAGATCAATAGATCCACTCTTGTCGTAGTCAGCCACTACAAAAACGTCGCGGGCAATCTTCTTGGCCGTGGCAGAATCCCGTGAAGGATCTGCTGCCTGCAGGGCACTTTGCAGTTCCTGCTCATCAATCTCACCATTGCCATCTTGGTCCATACTCTTAAAAATACCCAAGATCCATGCCTCTCGAGCACGCTGCAAGTTGTGATCTTTGGCCATTCGCCTCATCTGCTCCAAGAAGGCAAATGTCAAGACAAAGTGTGGCCCAATGCGTAGAAAAGATGGGACAAAGCCCTTCATGAAGGCAGAAGGTCCTTCGGTTTTGAAGATTTGGTAGGCCACCTGGAACATGCCCCCTTGAGCTGAGCCAGCAAAAAGCCGAGTCCGAACGACATCAATTGGATTCATGGCCAATGCCGAGACAAATCCACTGATCAAGGCACACGTCATGTCAACCGCTGGCGTATCTTGGTATCCCTTTTCCAGCGCATGCTCATGTAGCAACGTGTAAGATGTCAGATTGACCGAAGTACAAACGACACCTAGTGCAACGCTAGCTCCTCCCGCACGAAAGAATCCTTTGGTACCACCCGTCTCCAAAATGTTTTGGGCGATTCGATAGGGACCAACTGTGGGTGTGGCGGCAATGCCGGTTCCTCCCAGAGCAGCAATGGGCTGTGCCTGAACTTTGGTTCGCACAATTTCAAATGGATTGCAAATAAAGAATCCCAAGGCACCACTGATTCCACCCGCCACCATGCGTTTCCAGGCAGGCGGCGAGGAATTCTCGGGACAGTTGTGCACACAATCCATAATGGGCTGGTAGGCTCCAATGCGGAAGAGGTTCTGGCTGGTCTCTCGCATCATAACAGGGAACAGACCACGCTGAATAATCTTGGGATCCGTGGAAATGGCCAGACGAAAAAATCCCAAGATTCCTCCGCCTTTGCCTTGGATCAGTTGAGCTTGCGTCTTGGCCACACCAAAGGGATTCGAAAAGGGCGCCGCCATGGTCGATGCCACGGCAGGAAATATGAAGGACTGCCACTGGGGCAGTGGAGGTGCCTGAACCGCCAACAGCTTGTTCAGAGATTCAGTATCATGGCCTTGAAGCATCAACATTATTTCTTGTAATGTGTGTCGTTGGAGTTGAAGGAGGTTGATGGGAGATTGTGAGCAGTGATCAGGGAGCGGCGAGGAGGGTGATTGCCTCTCTGTTTCGGCGGCACAAAGACACAAAGACACCTTTCTACTGGAACACGTCAGTTTTTCTCTTCTGGAATCAGGATTAATCAATTGACACGACATTATGCCGGCCACTGGCTCTGTAGACAATCCAAGAGCTACCAAGTAAGTGTATCGTATATTAACAGTATCAGTCGTCTTCTTGTGGAAAGAAGCTGAAAGAAACATCAGACGCACCAGATTAAACGTGGTCAACAGACGCACCGAGATTACTGGCAGATGTCTAGTACACTCTTCAAACGCCGGAGCTGCGCGGACCCTCTCGCCCTCCAGAACTCCAGCGAAGTGAACCCTTGATGCTGTCCCCGACCCGTTGGATAACTTGTATTGACATCATATCGTATCTACAATAACAGCAAACCATAGGAAAACAAATACTAAAAATACGAAATATCTATTCATGTTCTATGTGTACTATGACGTATACATTGTTATGTTTACGTATTTAGTAAAAACCACAGCAAACGAATTTGTCTAGTTGAAGGTTTTTCTCAAAGGGTCTGCCAGGGGTTTGGGAGCAGAGAGAAGATGCACTTGCAGGCCAAACCTGAGACACTATCAATAATAAAGGATATCTTACCATGACTCCTCATGTGCTAGATCAATATCAATGATGAAGATGGATTCCTGCTTCATCATTGTTAATGTAGCAACCTCACTAGTTGATGATACGCCAAAGGAGTTAAACATTATGGATACTCTGGGTTCGATAATTATCGAATAGGAGAAATCGACGGTGTATTGGCTACCTTCGATGTATCAATCTTGTGATCCGGCGCATATTTAGAAGTTTTGATGCAATTTTGTACTTCCTTGCAAGACTCTGGATTCCGCATCAAAAACAAGGATTTGAAAGCGGAATACATACCATGTTGTCAAGGATCGTACAACAAAGTCCCAAAAAGGACAGCAACAAGCAGCCCCAACCCAGCTTCCTTGGGAGGTAAATCCTCCTTCAATGTTCTATACCAGAACAAACGATGGTATCTACCCAATTCCAGACAGGAACAAGCTTCATCGTGGCCTTGTACAACTAGAAGAGGCACAATGAAAGTGTTAAGTACTCATTTTGGCACAGAAGCTTACATAGCGGAACAATGCTAAAAACCACCTCTCGCAAGTGTGTTTTAAGACTTTACTTTATGACGGACAGGCTCATCTCTAATTCGAAACAAATCGAATCTCTAAGGAAGAGTTTGCATAAAGGTTTCTGTGTCTGAACAGACGGTACCCATCTCTCATACCGCATCAGGGCGCACAGCTGCAGACAGGCTACTGCCCGATTGCAACCGACCCAACAAAACGTTCGTTGTCCATTTGCTCATATGACTCCGGCCTTCTTCAATCAGACAATCACATAGGGAGCCACACCTCAGAACATTGATCCTGGAATCACTAACAGATGAATCGGCAGTGCTGAATCCTTTGCAACAAAGTAAGAGACGCTTATCCATCACAGGTTCTGGAATGATTTGCTTGCACTTGCCTGGACGGGTAAAGTCCAGAGATTGTTCCAAATGTATCCCGAGTACAAGTCTGGTAATCACCTACAAAACAAACTCCGAAAAGAGGGAATTGCACATAGAGTCTGGGATAGCTGCCATGGGCAGTCTTTCAGCCACATGGGCATTGTTCCCATGCTACAAAGAATACAGTGGTTCTATCGGAATGGCTCTTGAATACATGTAACAAAGTTGCGGGGAGTGATTGTCGGGGAAAAAAAGTCCAGGTTGTCAGGCCAAAGGAACCCTCCTCAATGCATTCCTCCCTCTGACAAGCCTCTTCTCCAGTCTTGCCACCATCTCATCGTCAAAACCCGACATGACAAGCAAAATACTAAAGAAGAAAACGAATAGAAAAACAAACAGTAAACATGCACAAACACCAACACCAGGTAACTAAAAACACGGAAACTATAACACAGGTAATACATATACACAAGGTAATACGTTTAACTATAACACAGTAATACGCAACAAACACAGTAATATTAAACACGGGAACACATATAACACTTGTGGCTGGTACTTACAGGGTTCATACTGGTCCTACAGGAAGTTGTTGACAATGGAGAATTCAAGGCCAGATCTTCCACAGCTTCGTCAGTGAGCCTTCAAAAGTATATGAATGCAAAGAGAAGTGGTCTGTGAGTTGACAAAGCCTGATAAAGAAGTGGGGCAGGAGAATGAAGAAGGAGTTGAATGGAGAGAAATCCTTCTATCTTTCCACAGAAAAGTCTTCTTGGCTTCAACAAAGCCATACCAACATGCCTACTTACCACAAAGTACATCTTCAAAAAAAGAAACCCTGTCATCCTTCAAAGCAACAAGAAGAGATTTATCTCAGGTGTGTTTGTGGAGATTGGTGGGGATTGGAGATTGGTGGAGATTGGTTTTGAAGCCATTTTGCGAAAGAACGGTCACTCGAACGGTCACGGTGTGGCGACCGTGTAATACTTGATACGTATTATAGGATACTAGAATAGATTGTACGTATTACAGTATTACATCGCGTGCGTTTGAGGGTCTCTCAATAGCTATTGATTTTCTGGCCAGTCCTTACCCACATAGGTTCGTGTTAGCGTACATCTTTTCAAGCTAGTTACGGAGTACGGTACAGTAAAGGTATAACCCTCCAACAAACCAGGAATACAACCGTGTACATGGTACCAGGCTCTACGTTTACCTGTCTTTCCTTTTTTTGGGTGTTTCTACCTTTCTGACCTTCTTCCAAGCTGACTGGAACATCGATGTTCCAGCGAACGATGGCTCGCTCACTGTTATCAATGAAGCCTCAACGAACACACATCACTGAACGATACGACGAAGGAACAAAAGAAGACTGACCCAACCAAGTCAATCCAAGCAAAAGATCCCAAGTCACTCGGAAATCGAAAGTCCACTAGCTAGCTAGCTACACCGGTAGTCAGGCACAAAAGATCGCAAGTCCTCGAAAATCCGACATCCTCGATAAATCGGTCAGAACAGCAAAAGAGGAAATCCACAGATCACACACACAAGATAAAAAACACAACAAGAAAACAAACCACAAATATTTCTTAAAACAAGAAAATTTTTGCAGCCTACAGCAGGATCGCGCTTGTAGGCTGGGTACCACAAGGCAAGTTCAAAGCGCAAGGCGGGGTGGTCCGGTGGGCTGATCTTCGTGTCTGCTTGAAACTGTTGATGATCTGGGTGACGTAAGCCACCCGTAGGTGCATAGATCGGTCGACCGAGCCCTCCAACAAGCCCTTGGCCATCAACCAATCACACAGTCCCACACTGCTTGCGGCGGCAGAACTTCCTTGACGCGGCCGCGCTACGAGCAGTAACGCATGCGCCTTTTTCCCGTTCAGGCCCTTGATACACTCTCCCACAGCTCGTAGAGGTGAAAGGCTTCTTCGAAAGCTGGGCTGGGAGGGTAGGGGTGTGGGGCCCTTGCGGCAGGAGTTTGAGCCAAACGCCCAGGACTCCTCGGTGGTGGGTGTGGGGGAAGTCCTCCGCCCCCGCAGCAGCACCACCGACGCCAGCTCCACCACCACCGACGCCAGCTCCACCGGCGCACCAGGAAGAGGAAGCCTTGAGCACCGTTGCCACCAGCCCTCGCGATCAACTGGAATGGTTGATCCTCCCAATTTCTTGTTAACGATGGCAATGTTGTCGAACAAGCCCCTCAGGAGCTGATGTCCTGTGCAAGCATCTGTGGCCTCCTCGATCGCCTGCTAGTCCTATGTTGGAGAGCAGCAATTGGTTGAGCTGTTTCATGTTGACACCACCAGGGCACCTCCAACCAAGGGCTCAGCACCAGCTTGGACCTGGGTGGGAGAACCAGTAATGTGAATGCATTGGCTACCTTGTAATTGTCAGGGGATCTTGGCGACTGGTTGTAGTCGGCCCAGGATCCTCATCCAGTGGTTCGAAGCTGGCATACTCCGTCTGGACGGTTGCGAATCTCACCGTCATCATATGCTCCAAGCAGGTTCCATCGCAGCCAAAGCAAGCTGGACCAAGCACCATCGTTAGGTTGTTGTTGGGTCGCGGCAAAGAAGTCCAATTTGGAGAAACATGCTCTGAACCATGGTCAACACCGCTGTCACCTTGATGCTGTACTTGACGGGACCACCAACAGCGAGCGTTCCAGCAACCTTGGCGTCGGTGGGAAGCTGCTCCAAGTTAATGTAAACATGGACGATGTGTCCATTTTTCTCTCCTTCCAGCGACCACGAGCTCATTCTCGCCTGGGTAATCCCACACTCAGCAGCAGTAGGTTGGAGGCAGCTTGCGACACTTGGTACCAAGGCTTCCCTGGACTTGACGGCAAGCTCCACGAACTCAGGTCCTTCCAAGCCTTCTTAAAAGCCCGTTGGTACCAGTCGTTGACTCGTCGGCTCCGTCAATCGTTCTCATCGAGCTCTTCGTTCGTTGTCCAGAGCTCGATGCGGCCAGGAACGCTCTTCATCGTCGACACGGAAATGGCCAAACAGAAACTTGGATCACCGTGTCCCTCTCAAGACGAGTCTGATCCAAATAGCCAAGGCAACAGACGCAAAAGTCAAGGGTCACGCACCCAGCAGGATTTGGTTCGGGCAAGCACGCTTCTCCTGACATCTTGCTCCAGATACCTGGTTTCAAGAGCGAAAGTTTGGAAACTTGGAGTGGCTCGCAGATCCAAAGTCTCCATGTTGTAAATATCAGTGCCAATCAGTGAACTGAACCTTCTAACATGGTTGGGATCTTGATGTGTGTCAATGTTGCTCTCCATCGCGTTCCACAATGTGAATGGTCTTGCGGAATTCCCGATCTTAATCCTCTTGCATTGGATTTCCTGCCTGCTTCCTGACCTCAGCTTCTTCACAGCTTTGATCATTCTTGACACACCTGGATGAGTGGGATTCCCAACATGGGACCAACAGCCCATGATGCGTGGCGTTCGGATGGAAGTGGCTGATTGCCTTCTTGTATTGTTCAAGAGTGGTAGATCTCTTGTGGGTGGGGCGGTATTGGGCCCTGGGTTGATCTTTCCATAGGCAAGGAAGTTAGGAACTGGCGACATCAGTAGGGGAATTTCTAGAGCTGGTCCTGAAAAATGAAGAAGAGCGACCATGGTGTGAGCGAGCGGCAGAGTGAAATCGTGGAGCGATTTGGCGAAGGAGCGAACGAACGTACCTGTGTAAAGTTCCTCTTGTTACCATACGGTGTCTGCCGGCCGTGCTTCCAAGACATAAACCTGGCGAGTGCCGGCCGGTATTGTTGGTCAAGTGACTTCCTCTTTCTCGCCATTGTCGACGGCAACAAAAGAGCGAGTAGGATAATAACAAAATAGCGAGGAGTGAGCAACAAATATGCCATAGCTTTCGCCTTTTTGGATAGCCAAATTTATGGAGAGGAAGAGTGAAGAAAACTGATTGATCGATCCAACATCCAACGGTCAAGTGGTCCTGTAGCATCAGTAGCACGGGATACGTCGGTTGAATCAGAGGGGATCTTGCGCAGTTTACCCTCTCTCAACACAGAGACAGAGGTTCCGGATCGTTAAGTCTTCGAGTTTCGCGGAACCTTTGTGTGTGACTAGGTTGTATTTGGCAGTTGGTACTTAGGCGAAATGTTGTATTTTGGGGTTGCCAATGCAACTACCAATGCGATTCTGAGTAGTATTGGATACCCTCAAATGCCTGGTTTTCCCCGGCAAAATACTCTCAATGACCAATGCGTATCCCCATACCCCAATAAATGATATTCTTACTTAGCACTGATTAGGGGGAACCGGTCACTGCTGGCGCTAGCACGAGCCACTAAGAGTACACCCCTAGTCCCACCAACGAGTACAACTCCCCCAAAGTAGATACCCTCTATCATGTGACTACAGTTGTATATTAGTTATACAGTACCGGTATGCATAGTAGTTTTCTGGCCGGCAATTGCCCCTCCTTTGATGAGCATGGGGTAGCACTTTTAGCCTCGAGCTCCTGAATTTTGATCGTGAGAGGATCTTGCAAAGTACAGAACAAACTCCAGCAACCAATTGCTTGTCAAGGGAGAAACATCGTCCGCGACGAAGCATCGAATCTTTCTTGCGTTAAAGATGACAGTTCCTTCTGGTTACCGGTAGCTGGAAAAATATACCATTATGTTCCTCTTGGGATTGGGCTAGAAAGAGCGTTCCCTACGGGAAGATCTCAGTCGACTGCAAGCATCTCTATGTCTCCATCCATGAACCACAGCTACCGTACTGTACCAGAGCGATACGTGTGGAACTGAGCTTTGGTGCCGTGCTTGATGTTGGGGTTGCACTGAGACTAATCTTCCAGCTTTCCTGGCTCACAAACCATCGCTCAGGTTGTTTTCCACGGTGACGTCATTGAGAAGCTCCACGATCCAAGCAGGAGGCTTTTTGACACTTCCTCTCATCCATGGATGGCCAGCCAATCAGATATGCGAAGCCAACAATGTGTGTGGCTGTGAGATTGACGATTGACGAGAAAGATACCAAAACAAACGTTGCTTCCTCCTGGCTTCCGCCCACGTTGCAATTGGGCCTCATCTATCTTTCATTTCAGAACAATTGATCGGCAGGTAAGTGGTACCTATTCTATCAATTGACTACTCTAGCTAGCTAGTCTATCTTGATCATTATCGCGATTTGCAACGAAGAAAGAAAGGAGATATCCAGTTTTGCAAACAACAAGAAGATGAAGACAGATCGGCATCAGTCGTCGATTTGGGCAGCCCTGCTGTTGGCTGGCAGTATTTTGTCCAGCGCAAGTGCCTTTACTGCCACCAAGACACCGACATCACTCAAGACGGCATCACTGAGGCCATCACTGATTTCCAGCAGTCGACTGTTTGTGGCCACGGAACAAGAAGTGGACGGATCCGCATCCAGCAGCACTTCTACCAGTACCCTTTACTCCCCCCCTGGCACTAGCAATGCGTGGGAAATCCACAAATTTGGAGGAGCCTCCTTGGCCACTGCCGAGCTGTACAAGACGGTCGGAGATTTGCTGTGTCAAGAAGCCCAGGGACGTGGGGAGGGTGTCATTCCCACCATGGCCGTCGTCTCGGCCAAGGGTGGCATGACCGATTTGCTCGTGCAAGTGGTCGATGGTGCCCTCTTGGATATGAATCGAGCCGAAGTGGCCTTATCGGAAGCTGTCACCAGTCAAATTGCTGTATTGCAAGAATTGGTCCCAAATCGTCACGATATCACCGAACCTATCATTGAAAACTTTCGTCAAGATGAAAAGGATATCCTCAGTGTGGTACAGTCCCTTCGCATGATCCAAACGGTCCCCGCCGTCACCATGGAAGTCGTCACGGGATATGGAGAAATTTGGTCGGCTCAGACCCTACACGCCTATGTGCAATCCCTCGATACAGTTCCTACAGCTTGGATTGATGCCCGTGATGTCCTCGTCGTCAAGGGGGATAGCAACATGGGGTTGGGAGAAAAGGGTGCCGCAAGCACTGGTGGAGTGGTACCCCTGTGGGAAGAAACTACGCAGAAATTGGAACAATGGTGGCAAGAGAAACAACCTAAGCCTTTGCCAGATTCCTCACCCATTGTCATTGTCACTGGATTTGTCGCCAAGACTGCCGAAAACGTACCCACAACCTTGAAACGATCCGGATCCGATTATTCTGCCACCATCTTTGCCAAGCTCACGGATGCTGCTCGTGTGACCATGTGGAAGAATACCAATGGTGTTTACACTGCCGATCCTCGTCGTGTTCCAGAAGCATTCCCCATTAGCTCTCTCAAATACGATGAAGCCATGGAACTGGCCTATTTTGGTGCGCAAGTGCTGCATCCATCCGCCATGGAGCCATGCATTGATAAGGAAATTCCGGTCTATGTACGGAACATTTTCAACCCCGCCTTTGAAGGGACAGTCATTCGAGGACGGTGTCCCACACTCAAGGAAAGCAACGAGAAGAAAAATGCCATTATGAACTGGAGAGCCAGCAGTGGCGAAATTCCCATCAAGGGAATCACGTCAGTGGACAAGGTTGCCTTGGTTACGCTGGAGGGCGCTACCATGGCAGGTGCCAGTGTCGCCGCTCGTTTCTTGGGCGCCATGGCTAGTGCCGACGTGACCGTCTTGATCATCACTCAGGCCAGCAGCGAGTCTTCCATCACTGTTGCGGTGCCGGAAAGTCAGGGCGAATTGGCACTGGCTGCATTGAAGGACGCGTTTGAACTCGAACTAGCCAGAGAAAACATCAATTCCTTGTCGCTGACTCCAGACATGTCCATTGTCGCCATTGTCGGAGAAGGCATGGCCTTGAAATCCGGTGTTTCGTCGACATTCATGACGTCGTTGGCCCGTGCTAATGTCAATATTCGGTTGATTGCGCAAGGAAGTAGTGAACGGCAGATTGCGGTCGTTGTGGAGAAGGACGATGCCACACGTGCCTTGCGTGCCGCTCACATGGCATTTACCTTGTCCGAGACTACTGCTAGCGTCGCTATTCTGGGTAGTACAGGACTCGTTGGAACTGCCTTGGCCAGTCAAATTCAAGGACAGCGAGAAATGCTCAATCAGGAATTGGGAATCGACCTTTGCGTCACTTGTGCCTCCTGCAGCACCAAAATGGTTTCCGCCAAAGATTCTCGAGGATTGGATCTCAGTGAAGTGTCGGATCTGTTGAAGAGCGACGAAGAAGGACAAGAGTTCGACTTTGACGAAGTCACCAAGATTATGGAGGCAGACGTCAATCCACTTCGTATCATTGTTGACTGCACCAATACAGAAAAAGCGGGAGAATACTACGAACGGTGGTTGTCGAAGGGTATCCACATTGTCAGTCCGGGTCGTAAGGTTGGCTCCGGAGACCTGGATCTGTACAACAAGATCTGCGCCGCCCAAAAAGGACATGCAGTGGAATGGTATACCGAAAGTAGCGTTGGGTCCGCTCTTCCCGTTATCAGCACTATCCGAGATTTGTTTGAAACGGGAGACCGCCTCAACAAAGTAACTGGATGCCTGAGTGGAACCATGGCCTTTGTCTTTAGTACGTTCGATGAATCCTTGTCCTTCTCTGAGGCTTTGTCCATGGCCGCAGAGAAGGGCTATACAGAAAATGATTTGTGCGAGGATTTGAGCGGACAAGACATGGCGCGAAAGGTTGTAATTTTGGCCCGACAGATTGGTTTGGATGTTTCCTTGGATGACGTGGAGTTGGAGTCTTTACTGCCTGATACATTCAGCTGTGCCATGGACACTGACGCCCTCTTGGAGGATTGCAAATCATTGGATAAGCCAATGTTGGACAGGTTCAAGGCTGCGCAGGAAAAGGGCTGCAAGCTACGCTACAAGTTCGAGATTGATTGTGGAACTGGCAAATGCAAATGTCAGCTGTTAGAAATTCCAAATACGGAAGCTCTCTTCCGTCTCAAGAGGAACGAGAATCTTGTCGCCTTTGACACAAAGCGTTACGAGACATCCCCGCTGATTGTGAAGGGTGCTGCCGCTGGACCCGAGTTAGCAGCTTCCGGTATCTTTGCCGACTTGCTGCGTCTCACGCGGGCCTATTCGGCAAATCAGATCTAATCTTTTGGTTTAGCTACGGATGCTGTTGCAGTTTTATTTGTAATCTAGCTAGATGCTTGTAGCACTGTTCGCCATACTGGTCTCCTGTCGGAATATGCAGATTCAGTACGTTTCTACAAAGCAGCCTCCCCTTTGTCGGTTGTGAGCCGGAGGTGATTGGTCTTGCTCTCTCTCTCTCTCTCTCTCTTGGCGGCTTCAAACCAATCAAGGATTCAAGAGGTCGCCTTGCCAAAGAATGTTGCAGTTTGCCTTTTTCTGGAACTCCAACACATCCTTCTTGAGGGCCTCGCCGGCAGTCCCATAATGGCCAGGAACTGATAACGCCTGGATATCAGTGGCAAGACAGACAGGCCCATGAATTTGTACCTCCTTGTATGTAGTGCAGGTGGACCGAGTGCCACCAACTCTAGTTGACTTGCAAACATTCACTACAGCTGATAGGTCGTTGTCTATCATCCATTGATAAAGGAAAGGAAGCAGTTGAGTGGGCTGGTGAGGACTTTTCTGGCATCATGCCAAGGCACGACAACAGCGGTGTTCCTTCGGTACATACCATTATATCCATCCAAAACGTGAGCATAGAACTCATGAGTTGCAAGAGTTGCAGTGGCCACAAAGGCTCCAGTATCCTTGTTGAAGAATGTAGAGCGATACCGAACATGTGGTTGAAGAATCATGAAAAGGTTCCCATAGCGGCGGGCACTGTTGACCCCTTGGATATCACCCGATACATTCAAGCAGCCATACTTTGGTTTGTCAAAGTTTGTGCAAGCTGATGAGTTGTAGCTTCCTCCAAACATGTCACTCTCCCACTTTCCCCTAGCATTCTTGTCTCTGCCGCCTCCAGAAGTGCTGGTCTCAAACAGGTTCCGGTAGTGAGTGTCCTTGACCAAAAAAGACAGAGTAGATTCCTTCAGGTGAATAACAATGGGGGCATCATCTTGAATGTAGTCTAGACACTGTTTCAAATCCTCTGGCGAAAAACCCAAGGATGCGATGCGAGTTTCCAACCTTGGCAGGGATTTGTCATGCATTTCCTTTGCTTTCTTTGTGACATACTGAATGGCCTCCTTTTGACAGGGCTGTAGTGAATCCAAGACTTCTTGTTTGGAAGGAGGGGTTTTCCGATGTTTCTTGTTCAGTTTGTCTTCATCTTGCTGGAACTGCTGTGCAATGACCATATCCCGATTCTCTTGCTGATGCAGCTTTTTGCGTCTCCGCTGGCTTCGCCGTTCCGTCTTTTGCTCTTCATCTACTTGGAGTTGCCGTGCGATTTCTAAATCACGTTCTTCTCGCTCCTTTAGATTCTTCCGTTTCATCTGCCGTGATGACAACCCTACCACATCGTCGTTGTCCTCCTGCAGTTGTTGAATGAGTTTCCACGACGCAAGATCCATTCCAGAAGGCTTTTCTTTCTTCTTGGCCACAGGGCCGCTGAGAACGGCAACATCATCATCATCATCCGAACTAATGTCAATCACCACAAGAGAATCAACATCATGAGGCGGGTTCCCCATGGTTGCATGCTTTGCCAACAGTGTTTTGTTGTTTCTGATGGGAGCTTGTACCGTACCGACCGTACCTGGTAGAGCTTTGTGAAGTGGGGATGACTTCCCTGTCGTGCTTTTGCCGTTCGAAGCGTCGCCGTTGTTGGAATGAACTTCTGCCAAAACCCCAACCTTACTACAGTAGTACCGTACCGCCGCGCTGCTACCGATTCGGTTTTTTTTCAGCGTTCGTCTCCAGATTCGTTGGCTTATGACAGGTTGCCGTGTTTCTGTAACAGTGACGGCACCGTTACCGGTACCGTTACCGGTACCGTAACGGGTACCGTAACCGTAACGGGTACCGTAACCGTAACGAGTATGGTATCAGTGTTGGAAGAGAATGTTTATCGGATGAGGCTACAAGGAGGACGACGAATTCGTGAGTTTGTACGTAGCGAGTGGACGACAAGTTTGTGTTGTAATTGTTACGATGTTATTGCTAAATTTTTCGAATGTATCATTCCGTGTATCGAGTAAATCCCAT